GCAGACGATGAAGTTTCGACGAAGGTGCTAGGAATAAAATAAATAGAGAAGCTGACGCACACAAATAATTTATTAATTAATATTCCCAAAACGGAAAAAAAAAAAGGATTAAAAATAAAAAAACTATATATAGTTGTAACCTGCGAAGCAAGAACAGTATCAATTATATTATTTTGTTTTTTCAGAAAGGAAAAAAATAAAAAAAAGTGTGGGAGGGGACTTTAGTAGTTTAGTGTAGAAAACGAGAAAAACGTGTTTACCTATATATAGAGACTGAAATAAAAATAAAAAAAATAGTAAGAGCTTTGCTTTGAAGGAGCTATGAGGTGCGATGAGCGTCACGCAATCACGTGATTGATGGTAGATGATGATACAAGATGAAAATTGTCTAGCTGAGATGCATCGCTGTATTAAACTCTAAAGATAAGCAACAATTGTTTTCTTAACTCCTAATAATAGTTGATGTGAATAAAATCTTAAACTTTAATCTTATAAATAAAAAAAATTATTTAAAGAGCTTTAAAGGTTAAATAAAATATATATTTTTTTAAGGATCAACTTAAAAATTTTTACAATAATTAAAAGATTAAATTAAAATTTTAACCATAATTTGTACGCATTATTTTTACAGAAAAAAAAGATCAGGTATTTCCAGCAAAATGCCACGACTCTTTCACGATGAAAATAATGCGTACAAATTATGTAAGCTATCAAAGCAACTTTATGACGATGAAAATAATAGGTACAAATTATATTGAAGAATTAGTCATTTAACAATACAGAAATTAAAATTTTTGATTTTAATTTAAAATTAAAAATTTTAAATTAGATATTAATTTTAATATTGTTATCACATAAATTAATTTAATTAAATGAATGATAAATTAAAAATTAATTTTTATTATTTTAATATAAATTTATAATAAATATATATATATTTTATTATACTCTTAATACATAAGTTAGAAAAATCATTTTAATTATAAAAGAAAATCTCCTAGGCAAAGAGAGAAGACACATTGGCGTTGAATGCAAGCAGCCGTATACACAACAAAATGGGAAATCATTTCATTATCTAATGTATGGGTGGGGCCGGACCATCTAAAGATTCATGGTTCAACAAGAGAAAATTAAATCAAGGAAAAAAAGAATGAGAACATTTCCATCTCTAGAAGGGAGATTGTGCATGACCACATTATGACCACATTTCCTATCTCTAGTGGGGATACCTTTGTCCTTGTCAAAATAGTCTTCCTGGAATCATAAAAAGAGTGGCCAGAAAATGCCACGACTCTTTGACGATGAAAATAATGGGTACAAATTATGTACGCTATCAAAGCAACTTTATAACTATCAAAGCAACTTTATAACGATGAAAATAATGGGTACAAATTATGTAAGCTATCAAAGCAAGCAGTGAGACATACGACCACGACAACATTTGAAATATCTGCATAATTATCACCGTGTCGTTTAATGAGCCTACAAAGTTTATTTATGTTGGCAGAAGAGTCACCTGTAATTTCTTGGCCCATAGCAACCCAGGATAGCAGGCAAATATTATTTGCTTTAGGGACCTCGCTGATGTTTTAAGAAAAGGATGCCCTTCCAATGCTGGAAAGAGAGAAAGGTTGAAACGAATCAGTATTTGGAAATGGATACAAATTACTAAAGTTGAATGACCACAAGCAAGGTGTTATGATGATTACCATTCATCAACAATTTGACTATCCTTTAAGAAGTCCTCCCCACGTCTCAGTGCAGGTCTAATTCCACAAATCTGTAAAACAAAAAGCTCCAAGTACAAGGCCATCTCCATTATTTGGATCAATAAGAGACAGGCACACTGATTTTAGAATTAATCTCCTTCAATCTATTTGCCTTGTATGGTTCTGTGACAACGGAAATTGCTTGGTCAGTTGGTCCTGCATGCCAAGGGTGAATGAACAGAAATTGGCATTTCATGTATGAAGTTTATTCGATTATAGTGAAAAAGAGTATAACTTTTGATTTTACAGCATTGACAACCAGGTATTTTGATGGGCAACTGACACTAACACACAGATTAAACCATGGGCAAAGATCAAACCTTGGATACAAACAACAATCAATTAAAAGCATCAAGATATTTTTTCTGCAGAGAATACAATATGGATATAACAAATTGACCTCGTTGAGCTTTAGGTATAATATAAACTTTAATCCTTGATATCCCATTATCAAAACATTTGACAAAATGTGAATAAAAGAAACCTTAATCACCATCATACCTGTGAACCATGTAAAATCTCAGACATTGGAAGCTCAGGAAAATGAGCAAGATCAACAAATTTCAAATCTCAAATTCCTATGCTCTTTTAGCAGCACCAAATTTCAGGAGAAGAAATTTGAATTTATAGATGTGAATGGAATATTTGAAATTTTCAGCTGCCTGATCTTTGATCACAAGATCAGTCATTCTTGATACCACAGAAAGCTTGGGTTTTGTCACACAACCAAGTGGCAAGAGAGCACACCATCCATTTCTGCTGTTGACGAACGATGGCTTCTTGCAGCAATCAAGCTCCTCTTTGAGGATATATAGGAAGACATTAGAGGGACAGTCCTGCTAGGACTTTCTCCAAAACATTGAGTTCCCTGGCTAATAAAGGCCAACAGATGAATACTGATTTCCCTTAATGGTGAATCCTTGGCTCCAATGTCTTGCTAGAAATGTGAGAGAAGTTTGAGTTCTTTATGCACAAGGCCTTTTAACATAAAAATCAGATGGAAAACCAGGTGCACTGAGGTAGTAGAAGACCAAATTAGCTTTTCTCTAGGAAGTATTGTGTTACATTATCTACAACATCGATATGTGGGGAAACGTCACCTGTGGAACAAACAAAAGCTGTGATCACAGACAAATAGCCTTAATTAGTAATAAAGTTGCACAAGATGGGTAAAAGTCCAAGGCTCATGTTGGAAATCTCATCAAAGCCTTCACCAGCGTCTTTATTGTTGGCCCACCTGAATGTGATTTGAGGCAGGCAGCTGAACTCCAATGCCAATAAACTTAACATAAGCAAAAGCTTCATTGTTCTCTTCACTTCACTATCAGACTGAAATCACTCAGCGCTAATAGGCCAGAACCAGTAATTTTTAAGACAAGTACACAAACAGACAAGGACACTTTTCTGTACAGATCTCAATGATCCTAAGGCAACATTGAAAATTTGACTTATGTGATCAATGCAATGCATGAAAAATCTATTGATAGGAGATTTTAAGAATAATTAATAATAGATTCCCAGCAATTAATACGAAAATTTGACAGAAATTTGATGTGAGAAAGAATCAGCCTTATTAAATCATTGAGCAGATTGCTATAATAAAACATAGAGCATACAATTATAAACACCGACAAGTGGCTCAAAACTCTCAAAAAACTGAGATCAACACCAAATCTCAAAACACATATAGAAACACGCAGAACATGCACATCAATTTATCTTTAGATCGATGCAGTAAGAGAAGAGAAGGAAAGCTGCTAACCACATGAATAGGTTCTTGAAAAATGGAATCTACTGCACTGCTATGCTCGACTTGAGCCACCTCTCGACAAGAATATAGGTATGCACCTCATCTAAAACTGAAAACAGACAAGCAAATCATACAACACTTAGAATCATAGACCGCATTTGACATAACAATCAAGTAAACCATGCAGCGTCCTAAATAGTGAATTTACCTCAAATGCAACTTCAATCTCTGAAAAAAAAAAATGCGAGAGTATCCTAACTAACTAGCAAAGCCTAATCTCTAAAATGAGACTTTATATTCAACTCATGAGAACCGATTTTGACCATCTCTGAGCTCAAAGCTTCATTTGATTTCTCATTCGGTGGCTTAAACCGCGCTGCAGTGTCTACGAACCAACAATCATTCAAGTTCAGCTTCTTCACCTGCGAATTTCGCAACTCATAAACACAAACACCAGAAAACAAGCTGCATCTACACATACACGAATACGGAAAAAGTATAGCAATGTGCTTACCAGTGGTTCGGAGAGGTCAGAGGAGAAAGAGAGAGGCATGTTCTAGATCGGTGAGGAGGGAATCGAAAGGATCTCACCGGAAAGAGGAATCGAACGGTTTTAGCCTCCATCGCCATTGAAGCAACCAAGCTAAAACCCTAGCAGGAGGCGAAAGGGATGAATGGTGTGAATTTTTATAAAAATTTGATTTATTTTCGCGCTTCCGGAATCGGAGGAGTAACTCAGTGAGAGGCCGAGTTCCAAAGTGTCAATCTGGCAACGTTACGATTGTCGGGGTAAATAGTCAACTTCGTCCCTGACTTTATGTTGCGATTTTAATCGGGTCTTAAACATCATTTTCTTCACAAATTAAGTCCAAAAACGTTTTATATATTTTCAATAGACTCCTTTGGTTGATCTCTCAATTTCCACATGCCATCCAGCCCGATTGAATAAATAAATAAACAAAATCCATTTTATTAGTGTTTAGTGGTGAGGTTATATATATTTTTCTCATTCTCACATTAAAAAAATGTTA